AATAACAAAGAATCACACAGATGAGATTTAACTTCCATCAAACCATCAGCAGAAGAGTAGAACTGTCTTTGTGGAGCACTAAAATAACAAGTTACAATGTTCAAGTCACGCAAAAAAACTTAATTAACTGGGTGAGCCTTGAGGGATCTTACAAAATGCCTCCCCAAGCAACAGTAGTGAGCATGAATGACCTCCAGCTACCACAGACTTGCTTACTGATACAGAAAATATGATTGCTTTTCATATTCCAGTGAATTTTCAACATTTCCCATTTTACCTCAGGATACGCAGTTGTTATGGACACACTGGAAAAGGTGTGTTGCAGCAAAAGGGGGAGTGTGTGTGGGCGTTATTAGCTAAATGAATTTTAATAAATAACACTTGAAACATAATGAAACATAAGACAATGGAAAAAGACGAGATTAAATGCTTGTTGAAGTATGGAAGACAGATAATGGGATACAGTAGTGAAACAGATGAGTTTAAGGAGGTTGGTAATAGCACATGTTCAATTTATATGTAAATCAATCTACCTAATAGAATGACCTCGACCAGGTGCCAGAGGATATAAAAACGATCCCACCCAAAAGCATTTTAGAATTTTGAAATTTCATGAGCTTTAACAAAAATGTGCTACAATAACCCATTAAAGACAAGGCTAATGAGGTGATTTATTTACACCAATGACAACACTTTTCAAAACGCACATCCGAAGCTCAGTCTGAACAACGAATGGACCAAGTTGCTTCCGCAGGGAGCTGGTTGCCCTTTCCACCTATGCTCGTGTGAGGACGAGCCGGATCGATAGGTGAGAAGCATGCCATCACTGTGACACCGCTCTGCCTCACCTTCTTGTTCTGTGGCTGGTGAAACAAAGATAATATATTTCTGTCACACTGACCCTCCTTGTTAGAGAGACAGCACGGAATAATCAGGAGAGAACAGATGATGTGCTGCAAACCTCCCGCTGCGTGACTTTTGACCACAACGATCTATGAACACGGACACTCGTGACATGCTGCAGTAAGAGTGGAAATGATAAGTGACTGCGGACCGAGGACACGTCTCACGGGTCTTTAACAGAGGAGTTTTTTACCTTGTTAAAAAAAAAAACATCATGTGGGTGTAGTCTATGGAGAAAAAGTTAGCTTAGGCCCTCTGTCTATCAGTCTCTAATGGTGTGGAGCAGTGGGAGGCGAGGACACCTGCGTCTGCAGCCTGATAATGAATATGATGAAGATGGATAATACATTACCCTGTCTGAAACTGGGCTTTCAGCTGGGGAGCGATTATTGTGGTAATTGGGATCTATGGCTGCTGCCGGTGGAGATACTTCTGACTGGGCTGTCTTAACTGACACACTGATAATATTTACATTGTTTGTGTTGAAAACAGGAGTTACAGCTTACCAGATCGTTCATAGCAGCCTCAGGTTTCTGGCTTTGTTGAATTGCACACTTGAACTTTTTTTTAGATGAGCAACAAATGCTTCAGGTTTTACGGGGTCTCACTGAAGTGACAGCGGCCATAGGATCATGAAAATGTTTGGCCACCTCTGATTTAGGCGCCTGTGAATTCCTAAATGAGTAAAAGATTACTTGATCTCCAAAAGTTAAAGAACATAAAGTTGAAAACCAATAACATTTAGGTTTCTGGATGGCAAACGCTCAGGTTGCCCCTTCTGAGTGAGATGCATTCAGAGCTATCACCCCGTTATTGATGCACCAGAGTGATGGTGCTCCTCTTAAATATGGAGGATATTCAATTCAAACCTTGCATGGACGTCACTGCACTTTTCTGATACCCTCTGACTTGCTATCACTTATTTTTCTACTGCTCTCTCAGCCTGGAATGATGGGGCTGGAGTAAAAAAGTACATGATAAGGATTAGAATTACACGATTTTTTTGCCTTCAGAACCTGACTTCTCCAGCAGCTTCCTTATGATTTACTGAAAGGGCTGCCCAGAGTTTTTGAGGACCCAATGGCTGGAATTAGGTTTAAGAGTAGGAGTTCATGTATCAACCAGGCAGTCCTGTCATGTGCACGCTAGAGACACTTTTTTAAATGAATGGCCCATCTTGTGCTCATTCATTCCCTGCCTCACCTGTCGGAAGTACATTTCAGTTTAAAAATGCACAGACCTGACATGCTTATTACTCTGGAACCTGAAGAGCGCTTCAACATGATGTTTTGAAACATTTAAAAGTAGTTTGATGAAGATCCCAGGGGTCATTATCAAGTTGCACGATTTCTTCCAGTTTTTTTTTTTCTGTAAGTGCAGTTTTCTGGGATTCCCCAGGGAACACTGGATGTCCTCTAGGTAGTGTCATACTGCATAGTGAGTGCCGATACTCAAAAGGGGGTTCTGTTAATGACCATCTGCTCAGAGAGCCACCTTTTTAATGAAGACGGATGTGTGGGAGAATCTGACCAGGGGGCTCCAGGCAGGGGTCTAATGACACATCCTTCTCTGTCTGGACCTCTCTAGGTTGTCTTACGTGACCTGACAGCCCTCATTGTCAATCCTTTACACCAATGAATTCCTGAACATTGCAAAGGTCTCCCAGTCTGTTTTAAAATATGGTTATCTACAGGATGTTCTCAATTTCAGGGTTCTTCTAAGATAGGATTCATCCTTTTATTACACTCAGAGGGGTCCGTATTTATGTAGAGGCTCTTGGTCTCTTCATGAATGTTTTAAAAGTACAAAGACAGCGCCGGGTTTTGTCACTGAGCCACATAATGTTATGGTTGAGTAACACAGATTTAAATGGATTTCGGTTTCTTAGATTAAATTCCCTTGAATGTTTTATCCACATCTTATGTTGTCCAAGCTTCTTTTCAAATGGGGTGTTTATAGCAAAGTCTGCGAAGAGCTTCTGTTGGGCAGTGTCAAAGCTGGTGCTGTGATTGTGTTCCAGCTCTCAGCCCTCATCAGCATTGATGTGATTCCAAAAGTGCAGTTTTAATAATATCTGAAAAGGAAAAAAATGGGGCTTGCGGCACCCACACCCTGAGGCTTCACCCTGAAAATGCCTTCAAATTAAAAACGAGCCCATGGCCTACTAGCAGTTCTAAACATATGGGCTGTTGTGTCAGCATTCTTTTATTAGAGTCATCTTGTTGAAAATACACAACAGGGAGGGCCAGATGATGGAGCCTGGAGGAGAAAATATGGATCTGCGTTCCCTACTGTCCTTTCTTTTATTTCATCTGTCTCCGTGAAGATTATTAAAGAAGTCGACTCAGATTGATGGGTGGAGATTGAAGGCGCTCAGAAGCCAATCTCTTTCACACTCATCTCCATCTGGGTGTTGGTGCTGACAATGGAGGAGCAGAGGAGGAGATGGATGGATGGGTCTTGTCTTCCCACCATACTTCATGTACAGATGATGGCACTGCATCCCTAAGAGAACGCTATTTATAGACTTCGTGGATCAGGCATCTAACAAAACATCAATTTACACAATGGAGTGCAAAACAATATAAGAGATTCTAATGTTTATGTGAGAGTTTTAATGCAATATTGTATATTAGTCTGCGTAACACTATATGGCTTTATTAACATCCCAAGAGTAAGTATGTGAGGTGCTGCAGGCTAATAGGAGCCGTTATGATGAAGGATGGAACCAATAAATTGATAACTCCAACACTCACTCCAGTACTGTACTGCCGCAGCTAAAAGGATTGACTCAGCCTTCTCTAACCTTGTATTTGACTTGTACTGTCATTAGCAAATCAAAAGTAGATTAATTAATCACAGGCCCACTGTGGTGTGCATTACCTTAAGTGACCATTGTAATATAACTTCAAGAGAAATCACCCATGATTTCTCATCTTGACACCAGAACGAATGCTTTGCTGCTTTCAGGAGTGCTGGTGCTGTCATCAAGGGGGAGAAAATGGATTCTATAAGTAGGGGAGAGTCTATTACAGCATTAATTCCGCAACAAATGGAGCTATCTGCTAATGTACAACACTTAAATTGTGCGTGGTCATTTTCAAGTCCCAGGTTTTTCCCCTCATTTTGCTTATGTGCATTTTCCTATTGAAGTAATTCTCCATTGTGTATCACAAACCCTTCCCTTAAAAAATAGATGGAGAATAACACAGAAAGTTTCATATGTAGCATGAGCATATGAGGCCGGAACACTTGTTGACCCCTTCAAGAGTCAGTGTTTGATGCTGTGAAGAAGTGTAAGTGGCCATCTTGGGCACCGCTCTGTCCCTATCTTAGATGCTCCATGCACCATTCTGTGACATTTAGATTACATTGTGACTCACTTAGTTAAGAGAAAAAGTGGCCAAATCACCACCTTGAGCAAACAAGATAGCTGTAAAATATTGTAACAATTATGTGAACAAGTAGCACTCTTATCTGGGCGATCTTGTGATCTTTGCAAGCATCATTCTTTGACCTAAAGCACATGTTTATGCATTAATGTGTTTATCTATTTATTTCTGTATTATTTTCTCCGCATTTGAAAAATTGTGGCGCTGCTGTGTTATATACAGCACTCCCACTGTACCGGTGTACTGCTAGTATCCCCTGCTGGCAAAATATGGAACTTTACATAGTGCGACACACTGAATTTCTGCTTTTGAAAAAAAATTGATCAGATATGTGAAAATCTGAGCTGTATCAAAAGTGGGTAAATAAAGGGAGGACTATGAATGAAAGCTGTGACTCACTTAAAGTAAAGGAAGAACAGTACTTACAGAACAAGCAGAAATTTCATTTATTTCAGTTCTTATGTTGCCAAAGGATCAGGAAAACATCTTTCAATTTAAAAAGAAAATCCCTTATCTTTTCCAGCTTATGTATATTTTAAAGAATACAGAGGAAGGAGTTAGTGAAGTCAAATTACTGCCTCTCAGCTACAACCCTCCATTATGTTCTGTGTATTCCCTGCAGTGATTATGACTGATTGCTCTCTCCAATTACTCAGGCAACCCTCTAGACACAGATGCCAGCACCAGCTTTATGTATTTCCACATTTCTTGCCAAACTTCGACTTCATCATTGTTATAGATTGTTGAGTAGAACCTCTTCTCCGTTTGCGCGCCTCTTTCTGTAAACATGCTGGTTTCCATGCCATCCTGGAGCTGATCGGCACGGCAAACAATCCAGCAACCTGCTGGAAAAAGCCAAACAATGGGTGTTATGGAGGGTGGGAGGTGCGTATGTTATGGAAGAGGGGAAGCAGAGCAGGACAGGTGGCAGATTCATGCAATAAAAACAGGCTGGTGGAGAGTGTAGCTGAGAAATCCCATCATAATGAAGGTTCTTAAAGAATATATCTAGTTTGGACGTGGTCCAGAAATGCCATGTGCTGCAGTAGGTGTAGGAGCAAGACCTTCGATAGCATTTAATCAATTACAGAACTGATTCCATAGTGACGAGAAAACAATCACTATTGCAACTCACAATTCTACAATTATAAAAAATAACATTGGTGGCATCTGAGAGTTTGTGGATTAATGACAATTTCCTAGATTCCTGCATGATGATGCAACTTCAAGATATAAAGAGTTTGAATCTAACTGAGCATGTGAGAGGAAATTAGACTTTTGGTGATTTGTTTTATCAAAGAAAATGATTCAGTCTTACATATTTGCCTATACCAGTAGTATCTGACTTTTTGCCTCCAGTATATGGTGGAAAAAGTTGTAGCTTATTTCCCAGTAGGCTACAGTCCTTAAAAAAACAACAACTATTGGACCAAGTCTTTTACTAAGTTATTCCAAAACATTAAGATGATTTTTCTCATACCTCTACGTATTTATTGGGATGGCTGTTTTCTGAGTCATCCAATGTATCATGAGTATGGTCATGTGTTTTGATCCAGAGGCAGCTAAATGAGCGACCACTTTCCCCTATGTTTCCGGAAATATATTGTGTCCGGTTTACATCAGTCTATATATAGTGTATACACTTTTCTATTACCATCATCTAGCTCGGCCATGTGTTCTTTCACAAAAAGAAATTCAGACCAATATCAGATGCATGTGACCCTGGACTTGGGGGTTTTCCAGAGGCTCAAACAAAAAAATCAAACAGGTGACAGAAATAAACAGATGATTATCTTGTCTGATGTCGTGGAGATATTCGCATTGCACCTTTAAAAAAAAAGCTAATTCTGGAGTTCACTTGAGCATCTCACGTAGAGATCCAGTATAATCATTAAACGAGTTCTTTAACCTCTTTTAGTTTGTAAGCTGCTTTAAGTGCAATTTAAAGAATCTATCATTGTTTTACTGAACTCAGTTTTATCATAGGTGCTCGCGCCAATAAGAAGACGGTTGGTCGTGCGCGCGCTTAAACACTTGGCTACAGTGCGAGCTCGCCACTGGATAAATAAAAAAAAACAGAGAAGAAGAAGAAGAAGAAAGTCCTTAATAATTTACTCTTAAGGTGCACTCAGCTTGAAATGACGTCGTTCACATGCAGCCGTGCCAAGGGCAAAAGTATAATCGGGAAGGAAAAAAGTTCCAGGAAACGGAGGAGTGAGCTGGGCAGCTGCGGAGGGAATCTCGCAGGGTCCACTCCTCTAGCCTGTCCACTTCTCATAAGCTCTGAGACCAAGGACACAGCTGGTTTCCCGGTGATACTCAGCTCGGAGGACTTCAAGTGCACTTCACTGTGGCGTGTCACTTTGTGGAAAGTTTCGGACACAGTAGGTAAGTGAACGCGCCATGAGCAGACACAGTGAGATGAGCCGCTCATGTTTTATACAAACTTTTACAGGCTCTTTATATTAATACATTACCTAATATAATATCTAGAATAAGTACTAGAAGTATAAGTACTAGAATAAGTTTACTCTTTGTGTTTCTGGGGTCATATTGATGTTTTTAAGAGCTTTTTTTTTTTAAATTCCTCAGGCCCCAAATGAGACATGCTCAATTAAGCAGCCTACAGTTTAAGGAAAATTATATCAGTTTTTTGTGTTTTTGCTAATTTTAGGTCCAAAGGACTGCAAGTGTGTAGTGATTTCACGACTGATAATTTAATATAGATTGTGTCATTTTTGTTCTGCTCTGATTCCTTTATTCTTTTTTAGGCGGGAGCCTTGGATGACCAGTATCTGCATAAAGAGGAAACTTAACAAAGCACCACTGCTCCAATCTGCTGTGTCTCTAGCGTCTACCTTCTGGGGAATCTGCATCATGAGTGAAAAAGGTTGTCAGCTGCTGGTGTCCCCATGCAGCGTGTCCCCATCACTGAGCATGATCAGAGGGCACCAATCAAAATCCATCAGGATACCTGTGTCTTCCCCCCAAATGAGCGGTCACAGTCCCTCTTTAGGGCAAATGGAGAATGTGAAAAAAGGAACGATCCATTCTTTAACCTCTTTGCAAGCGAACGGAGGTCAGGTTGTCCTGCCAACCCTGAGCCTACGCAGACAGGTGCTGATCAATGGAAAGCATGTAACTGGACCAGCCGCAGCCGCACAGCCACAGGCGCATCCCCAGAACATAATGACGGCCGGCAAACCCGCAAAACTCGGCTCTTCTCACAAAAATGTCAAAGGTAAAAACAACAACTCATTAAAGTTAAAGATATACCCGACTCGTGGGAGTGAAAGGAGAGAGTAACTGGACTCTCCGGAGCAGAATTTAGGAAGGGCAGTGAGAAAGAGCCCCCACATGAACACACAAACACACACCAGGTTTACATATTCCACCAAACTGAAACATGGGGATAAACAGTTCACGCTGTGACTTAACTTCAGCACCTCAATTCTGACCTGAATTGACTCAATTTGACATGATTTACTGACAATGTCCAAATATGTCCCCATGGGATCTTTATGCTGCCTGCAGTGATTATGAGAGCAACTGTGTATGAAATGTAAAAGTGGTCTCCAGAAAGATACAATTGTTTAGTAAAAATAACAAAGTTTAGTCCTAATGATATATTTACCTCTTATCCCATCCAAGTATTGGTTGAATCAAACTAGAAAGCAACACAGTTTCCTCATGACATCCTTATATGTAACTAAGACATTGAAATCGTGTAAAAAAGAGTGACGGAAAGAACAGCATGTTAGTGTTAAACATGATCTTTTTCTAACCTTAACCGTGTTATTTAGGTGTCACAACTCGATCACAGAGTAACAAAGTTAAGTGTTTGAGTAAAGTCTAGTTTTATTTACTGATCACAACACAGAAATGAAAAACCTTTCCCAACAGTTTTTTCATTTCTGAAACAACTCCCCTACCCCCAACTGCCCTACCCCCAAATGAGAATTGTGTCTTCTTAAAGGATAGACTTGAGAATGACCTCTGCTTTGATGTGGAATTTCCTTAAAAAGTCGTATTACTCTCTTGCCACTTTACTGGAGGTTTTAATGGGTCATATCAAAAGTTTTGATCTAACAATCAAAGTGAAATACTTGTCAATGTTACAATGAATAGTCATACTTTTTATTTCCTCACACTTTTCTTTGAAGACTGTGTGCTGCTTTTTCAATAATATACCAAATAACAATGTTTATCGCTGAATTTTCAGGCTAAAAGGGGGAGGATGTGAACTCTGTTAGTGATTAACAGAGTGGAGTCCAGGTCAAGAAAGCCAAAAGGGCTGCTTTGTAGTTTGATCTGTTTGTAAATTAAGGATAAAGGTTACTTGGTTATTTGGCATAAGATGTTTTTGTTATTCATAAAGTTATGGGCTTATGTCTAACAGATCACACAGGGTCTGGGTCCACTCTGGACGTATCGGGCCAGGCAGCTGCTGCTAATCTAAAAGTGACCAGTAGTCCCATGAGTGTTGTCACAGGCCAGCCATATACTGCAGGGCTTCATCTCCCCTCCTCTCATACTGTCCAAATGCCCCACACTGAAGTCAGGTGAGCAATATCAGTCACCTAAATGTCACCTAAAAAGGAAAGAGTGCCACTAAAGCCGCTAAAAAAATTTATTTTTCAGGTCTTTACCGTCCAGAGAATCCCTGGCATCCACTACCCTCAGCCTGTTTGAGACACAGTCAGTGTTTAGTGGCAGACATGACTGGCCATATGGTTACCGTGTGCTTCCTCCCCTGGGACAACATCAGTGCTCTGCCCATGCCAGTGAGGGCGGTGAGCAGTTCAGCCTGTCCCCTGGCACCGCCATGTCGGGTACTTCCACATCAGGTGGCGCGAGCGCTTCTGCCTCCCTGCCGTCGTACCTTTTTGCCGGAGACGTGGGAAGCCCCAAACAGTCCTGTGCCCAGAAGAGAGCTCTCTCCTTGTCGCCTTTGTCGGATGTTCTTGGAACGGATTTCAACTCCATTATACGCACCTCGCCTACTTCACTTGTGGCCTACATCAACGGTTCCCGCAGCTCGCCGCCCTCCCACTTGACACTCTCACCTGCTCCGTCGGATGGGTATGGTCACTTCCTGGGGGTGAGAGGTCGCTGCATCCCCCAGGGCCATCCCTACTGCATGGCCGGCCCCTCACAACCTCCGGCGCCACAGTCGGACTGCGGCCGCATGCAGGTGCTGGAGGAGGGAGGGGGTCTGGAGAGCCAGATGGCGAACATGATGGTGGAGCAGCAGTACCTCCCAGATGAAGGAGGAGTTCTGGAGAAGCTTTCGGACAGATGCGGCCAATCTAACAACAATATGCCGCCACCTCTGGAGTTAGAGCCCCCTCCTCTGACTACCGTCCAAGCAGCTGCTTCCCCACACGGGCCTCCACCACCTTACCACTCACACCAACACATTTATCTGTCCAGACACCAATGCAGAATGAAGCCTCCTTCTCCGGAGCCAGCCGCACAAGCTTGCATGTTACCTCACAGGCAAGGCGTCAGTTTCTTGCCCCAAATTGCAATGCTGGAGGAGGAAGAAGGAGAGGTGGAGGACTGCAGCGCACACTGCTGTAGGTGGATGGATTGCAGTGCAGTTTACGACCAAAAGGAGGAGCTGGTAAGGCACATAGAGAAGCTACATGTGGACCAGCGAAAGGCAGAAGATTTCACCTGTTACTGGGTGGGTTGTCCACGCAACTTCAAGCCTTTCAATGCCAGATACAAGCTTCTTATCCACATGAGGGTCCACTCAGGAGAGAAACCCAACAAATGCTCGGTACACCTTGTATTAGTGTCTCTTGCTACTCATCTTACTGATTTCAATACTTTAATCTTATACTTCTTTCCTCCTCATCTTGGAAATAAGATTCTTGTTTCTTTCCTACCCATACAAATACAACAAAGCTCCCACTGCGATTAAGATTTTTTTTCTGCCATTTGCGAGATGGCTGACTGAATGCCATCAAAGTAGGAGGATGATGAATGACACAAACTAACTTCCATTCTGCATGCAACATTGAAAGGCGCAGTGTTGTGTCGAAGTCTTTGAAGCCTCAGGCTGCAAAAAACCTTTGTTAGGATAAATGCTTTTATATTCTTTGGGTATATGGCCAAGGCTTAGGTCAGAAATATAACCTCTCTCTTCTCTTAACTTAAGAAATGGGGGTAATTAGCCAGGCTCTATGTTAATTGACATGGGAGTAAACTGAATTATGTAGTTATTAAATAAACACAAAGGAGGCTTTGCAATGACACAATGGCCCTCTGGTAACTATTGGGCCAGGCTGGAGACAGGGCTCTGCCTGGCATCCATCTGACAAACTTGGCTGTTGTTCTTGGAAAGTGATGCCTCGCAATTCAGATTTCTTCAAGTTTGCTTCTTTGGCTAGACATGGAGTTTATCCATGGAGTTAACGGTTGAGATGATTTAAGCCTTAAAGATGAATGAGGTTTCTTTTTGTAGCCTGAAAATTAATTTATGCCTTGGTTACTATTATTTGAATGTCATTGTTGGTTTAAATGAAGAGAAAACTATCAAGCATCAGTCATTACCAGTGTGAGAATTACCCTTCCATTGGGCTCGCTGGATATGTGCCTCTGTGGAGAGGCTATTTGTAAATGCAGTAACCTTTTTATGATAGCCAGTAAGCACACATGTTTTGCTGATTATCACAAGCAAATGGCAGATAAGACTCGCTGGAATGTAGGTGTTTTAATTAAGAACATCTGGAGAACAGCAATTGTTTTTGTCCAGACGTCTGATCATACTGCTCAAGGAAAGGGAAGAAATTGAATAAAAAATTCTTTAGAATTTTGAACACAAAAATGGACATGGGGGGCAGCTATTGTTGCCAGCTGAGGGCCTTTCAGTTTGTTTCTGAGATTCTTCAGCCTTTTGTCCAACAAACAGACCTGTGTAGTTAATTGCTTATATTTTGTTTTATTTATTTAATAATTTATTCTTATTCTAAAGGATGGTTTCCAAAGTGTTCCAGGCTTGCTTAGACATTCAATTTCAAACCTTTAAAGCTCAACCAAAAGGTCGTCATCTTATTCAATTCCGATTTGAGCAGATATTGCTGCTCAGTAGAACAGTAAATCTCTACTCCTGAGTCTGGTAAATCTAATTAAAAATGCTGTCCATCAAATCTATGTGCAACTGCGAGGGTTTTATTGGGCTTCCCGACCTCCACTGTCACTGCAGAACATTAACTTAAATGGAGTTAAGCTAGTTTTTACAGCCTTCTTCTGCTTTGTGGATATTTATGTAAGATTTTGAACAGGTCACTATTATAAGCTAATCAATGACTGAGACATTTGTAAAGATGTTTTAAAAAAGCACTAAATTATTTGGATTTCCTAGATTTGTGATCTGGATAAGTTGGCTCTCGGTTATAAACATCAAATTCCAACATTCCAACAAGAAGGTTAACATAACATCAACCTACTGATGGTGTTTGAGGAAAAAAGAGGTGGTCATCAAAATTCAGTTAGAAATCTTACAAAAGGTAAAGCCTAAACAATCCAGTCTGACACCCAGTCTGACAATGCTTCCAAATGGTCGAATCCAAATGTTTTGCACCATTATACAAAATCATGCTGCCACACAATTGGCTGCACGACATATGCAGTTTGGTTTGTAATGGCTTCTTTGTCTTTTCCTCACTCTCACTGTGAAAATACCTTAGTGTTGGATGAGTAATTAATGAACCATCAGCTCAACATACTTCATGCTGGTGCTTTGAACGAGTTGATTATTAACAGAATGCATACCTGCAGTCGACCTTTTGCTCAGAAATACTTACTTATTATATGAAGCCCGCTCTGTTACCATGGGGCTGCCATCGTTGGATGAATCCGTTTTCTCTGTAATCACTCAATGATGAATGGTCCATAGACAAAACTCATTACCAAAAACAGAATTAGTTTTTTTGTTAGTTGTAGGATACTTGTAAAAAAAAAAAAACATAGAAAGAAAACTTTTGCGCTTGTGAGATATTCAGCATTCAACAGTGAGTACGACACCAGTGTCTTACACTAGAAGCTAAAAAAGATTTACATGAATAAAGGGAATGCAAATGTACTAAACTAATTCAAAATAGTTAAATTACTATTGTGCTTAAAATTTTTTTAAGTTGACAGCAAACATATAGAGAGCAGCCATTCTGTGGAAGTGATTGGCAGGTATTGCGCAATAGAAAAACTGCTTCAGGAGGCAGCACAATAATGAGGTTGCTCTTGTGACTTAGTAAACGTATAGGACAGGTCCAGACTTGCACCTGTCATCTAAGTCTGTTCAAGGATTATATACCACGTTGGTTAGTAGTGACTTGCAGGTTTATTTGTGTCTCTTTTACTTAAACATTTAAGGATTTAACCTTTGCAAATACTTCAACAGTCACTGTGAAGTTAGTTGTTATTTATGGGCTTTATCTATAGAAATAACATTCAGTGCTTTTTGTATGGATTGTTTGACTGCGCTACTCTTATAGTGAAGACAGATGGGGTGATGTTATTTGGAAATAGTAGCTTGTGCTCTTACGTGGCATAGTTTTATTTTCAATTTGTGGATGCAGTGATTAAGTGAATAAACATATAAAGTATTAATTTAAGGATTTACTCATTTCCATGAGCCCATTAACTGATTACCACAACAGGATAATTTCTAATCAAATTGCCAAATACCGTGCTGTTAGGCATGGAAAAATGTTGCATCTCTAATTTCTGAAATACTAGCAGAATTGCAGCTTTTTTTAAACATCACAGTAGGCTACCCCTAATCCAATGTCAAGAACTGAAATCATTAAAGAATAAATGGTAAGTCTGTAAAAGACCCAGATTAAACTATTTATAGGTTTTGCTTTATCATATTGGATTAAGTATTATAAGCATAAGTTAATCAGCACATTGTTCAAAGAAACTGCTGCCTTTCTTTATCAATAAATCAATTATGAGTAAAAAATTAGATAATCTGTTTTATAATATGAGTTTTGCTCAGATCATTAATCATAGGCTAAAGGAGATTTTATTTTCGATCTCTATATTTAATTAAGCTAACTGGACTAAATTAAAGTCCCTTCAGAAATGTTTCTTTCTTTCTTTCTTTCTTTCTTTCTTTCTTTCTTTCTTTCTTTCTT